AAATGTCTTGATTATGATCAGTGGGGTAGGGTGGGGATGCATAATGTATTACAAGGGGGAAATCTGGTAAAGAACAGAATGGTCAAAGGTTCTCAGGTAAAAGATGTGGCCCATGGGCCTCTTGTTTTGTTTTTTGTTTTTGTTTTTTGTTTTTTGTTTTTTTGTTTGTTTTTTTTGCTAAACTTCATTTTCAGTTGTCATTTAATTGTATCTTCTGCAATAAATTTTTTAGGACATACCGGTATCTAGACTCAGTAATTTATTCTGTCAGGCACTTTTTATCACCGATGGAGAGCTCTACAAGCAACCCAAATGTATTCAGTTTCTAAAATGATTGAAAGATAAAACGGGCAAATGTATTAAAATTGACACAAGAGACTCCACCCCTTGCACCCTCTGACCCTCCATTTTGGAGTCATTGTGGAGACTCCATCCTCCGCATTTTACACCAAGCCTCCACAGACTGGCATATATGCGTATGTGCAAGTTCAATACTCTAGGAACACCAAAATGTACTAGTATATTGGTTTGAAAACAATTACCCTATTAATAATCGTAAAAAATCAACTGTGCGTTGAAAATTAATTTGTTAGTTTTCCCCTCGCAATTTTCAATGCGTTATTTAACCTTCCACGTCACATACATTTTCTGTAGGTGACTGTAACTACGTTAATTTTTTAAGGCACACTAGTTCTTAAATGCATTACATTCATAATATTAAGGATTATGACGAAATTAGTCATGAAGACCGAAAATTAGAGAATGTCAATATAAGCACTGGATTCTTATTTTTCGACTTCTTCTCTGGGTGACCGTAGATAAATAATCCAGGTGACTGTAGATTTCTTCTTCTCTAAATGACTGTATATGATTGTTTCCTTTCGATGGGACTGTAGTTAACTAATCCAGGTGACTGTAGATTTCTTCTCTAAGTAACTGTACTTAACTTATCAGGTGACTGTAGATTTCTTCTGTAGGTGACTGTAACTACCTGATCTTGGTGTATGTATCTAGGTGACTTTGGTTATCTTACCTTGGTGACAATAGAATTCTTCTCTAAGAGACTGTAGATGCCTTTTCTAGCTGGATGACTGTACTAGTTAACTGGTGAGTGTAGATTTCATCTCTAGGATGGTACAAAATATTCAATTTGTGCTTAAGAATTAGGAGTAAACAAATCGAATAAAATTACTATAAGCAAAATGAAAATGTAAGACTCGATTTTAGTAAATTACCATTGTCATGTAAATTTAAGCCACTTATATTATGAAAAAAAAATCGAGAGAAAAGACATCAAGAAATTACAAAAGGTTTACCCCATAAATTATCCAAAGAAAGATAGTATTATTTTACCTTAAACGGACATTTTCCGACAGTAAACCTGCCTTTGACGATTAAAGCATTACTTTTGCCACCAACCTTGTCGATATAAAGGTAATTAAACATGCATTATTGAGACATTTACTTGTGATAATTCTGACCTGCACGAATGTATATGTGCACTCTAATGATTTGACTGATATATTTATTCATGGATGTAAATATATAATTTTTATATCGATAATTTTCATAAGAAATCTTAAGAACTAGAATTAAATGTTTTATGAATGTAATTTTTTTTAGGATAATATCTTTTGCTCTAACTTATTTTATCTATACTATATTCAAACTAATTCTACTCTAACTGAATTAACCCAAGCCCTTTAATTGTCTGAGATCCTATATTGCAGAAAAAAATACTACGCTACATTCGGCCTAAAATCTAAAGGTTGAAAGTCAGACGAAGAGCAAGGCCAGAAGCTTATACATTTAAACTTTTGTTTTTGGGTTGAGTTCAGTCAGTCGATCTGGAGAGGACCATCAACCAATTTTTTAAAAACACTTGCTGTGGCCTTCAACTCGACATTTAGATATATCGACGACGTATTGTCAATTCGATACGATATATCCTTTTGAGCTTGAGACAAAAGATACCACAGAGTCTGAGAAGTCTGTTTCATATTTGTTTATTTTACTTTAAAAAACGTTAATGGTAATCTAACAACAAAGCTCTATGATATACGTGATGACTTTAACTTTTCTATCGTCAACTTCCCTTACTTATGCAGCAATATACTTTCATCACCTGCATACGGAGTTTATATATAATTATATATATCTGTCAGATGATTCTATACGCTAGAGCATGCTCTGCTTATGAACAATTTCTAAAACGAGCTAAATTATTGACAAACAAGTTGATGAAACAAGAATATCAGCAGTCTCGTCATTTCGTAAGTTCTATGGTCGATACAATGACCTTGTCAGCACGTACAACTTATTATTGAGTCAAATGCTGACTGACGTTTTTCATACTAATTGTTAGTCCATTATTTATACACTGAATTGACAACGGATTTTTCTCTTATTTCCCGATCATGACAAGGAGCACACGACGGGTGTGACCGGTCAGCAGGGAATGCTCACTCTTCCATGGCACCTGATCCCATATACGACGTTTTGGAGGTTCGTGTTTGCTCTGCTCCTATATTGTATTGTTTTTTGGGCTTTTGATCTTGAATACTCTTTGTTATTTCCATATGGTTCATTCCATTTTAGAATATCTTTACAAGTGCAATCTCTTTAATTCTGAATGCAGGTGACTATTTATTTATAATCCAGGACTGATTCATGGTCACAAGAGCCAATGCTTATTCAAAATCATCTTCATAGGCTTTTCAGCAAAGGTTCATGAATGTTCTCTTTGCATTTTATCATCTGTCATGATTGTTAACATGTTACATGCACTAGCATATTCTGCTTATGTACAGTGTGTACATAATTTTAAAAGAAGAAGTATAAATCTGAATTTTGACCTCTGCGTATGCTACTAAATAACTTCAGCTGCACAATTAAAGTACAAAGACTGACTTTAAAAAGAAAACATTTATTCTCTCTTTAGGAACAAAATTTTGAATACTTGTAAAAGCAATTTTTCTCTTTTTTTAGCAGACATCTTTTCCAGCAGCCTACAACAATAAAAAAAAAATAGTTGAGACATTTCATATACATATGTACATCTTAATCATAGAAAATATAATTCTTGCTTTATTTTGTGTATGTATCTATAATAAGAAAACATATTAAGAAGATTTTTAAGGTAATTGAACTATACCTTGAAATAATCTATATGGAAAAAGAAAAGTGTCCTTGGACCAAACCAACCATCATCATCCTCCTCCTCCTCATCATCAAACAAAGGCTGAAAAATATAAGTAAAGAGAACTTTTATAGTAGCCTTCTTATTGTTCAAAAGGTATAAATTGGACAACATTAATTGAATGTGAATTTTTGAACACTTAATATTAAAAGTATTAAAAATTATTTAGGGTTTTAAATTAAATGTACCTTTAATGTTTTCTCCTGATCCTTAGAGACTTCTTGCTTTTGGTTGACTGGTACAAGAACTGCTTCATCACACACATAGAGTCTTTCTCCTGTCAAATTTACATTACATGCTGGTGATATCAATGCTGACAAATCTTCATCACAATCTGTTGATGGTTTTGCTGTTAAATCTTTTTCATATGCAGGTGACAATTCTTCTAACAATTTTTCATCATTTGCAGCTGCCTTCTGTGCCAATAATTCTTCTATATGTGCAGTTTCTTTCTCTCCCTCCTCTTTACATGGTGGCGACATCTCTGACAATTGTTCATCATATATATTAGCACTTTCTTTGAAAAATTGCTCATCACAAGAAGTTGAGTTCATCACCCCTGACATTTTATCACGTGCCGTTGACTTGAATTTTGACAAATATTCATCACTTACTGGTGTCTTTTCCAATGACTCATTAACAGACACTGATGACTTTGTCTCTGATATCTCCTCATGTGGTATTGTTTTGCCTCCTGATTTCTCTTCACACGCGGGTGTTTTCTCTTCTGGTATCTCTTCATGAGTAGTTTTCTTCTCTTCTGACATCTCATCATGAGCAGTTTCCTTCTCTTCTGACATCTCTACATGAGCAGTTTTCTTCTCTTCTGTCATCTCTACACCAGCAGTTTTCATCTTCTCTTCTGACATCTCTACATGAGCAGTTTCCTTCTCTTCTGACATTTCTACACCAGCAGTTTCCTTCTTTTCTGGTATCTCTTCATGAGCAGTTTTCTTCTCTCCAGACATTTCATGAATAGAAGTTTCCTTCTCTTCTGTCATCTCTACATGAGCAGTTTTCTTCTCTTCTGACATCTCTACATTAGCAGTTTTCTTCTCTTCTGGTATCTCTTCATGAGCAGTTTTCTTCTCTCCTGACATTTCAATAATAGCAGTTTCCTTCTCTTCTGACATCTCTACACCAGCAGTTTCCTTCTCTTCATGACATCTCATCATGAGCAGTTTCCTTTCTTCTCTTCAATAATAGCAGTTTCCATCTCTGACACACCAGCAGTTTCCTTCTCTTCTGACATCTCTACATGAACAGTTTTCTTCTCTTCTGACATCTCTACATTAGCAGTTTCCTTCTCTTTTGACATCTCTTCATGAGCAGTTTTCTTCTCTCCTGACATTTCAATAATAGCAGTTTCCTTCTCTTCTGACATTTCTACACCAGCAGTTTCCTTCTCTTCTGACATCTCTTCATGAGCAGTTTTCTCTTTCTCTCTGACATCTTTACATGAACAGTTTACATGAGTAGTTTTTCTCTTCTGACATCTCTTCCTGAACAGTTTTCTTCTCTTCTGACATCTCTACATGAGCAGTTTCCTTCTCTCCTGACATCTCTTCATGAGCAGTATCCTTCTCTCCTGACATCTCTTCGTGAGCAGTTTTCTTCTCTTCTGACATTTCTACATGAGCAGTTTTTCCTTTCTCTTACATGACAGTTATCTTCTCTTCTGACATCACATGAGCAGTTTCTTCTCTTCTGACATCTCTTCATGAGCAGTTTCCTTCTCTTCTGACATCTCAACATGAGCAGTTTCCTTTCTTCTTCTCTTCATGAACAGTTTCCTTCATCTCTACACATGAGCAGTTTTCTTCTCTTCTGTCATCTCTACAAGAGCAGTTTTCTTCTCTTCTGTCATCTCTTCATGAGCAGTTATCTTCTCTTCTGACATCTCTACATGAACAGTTTCCTTCTCTTCTGGTATCTCTACAAGAGCAGTTTTCTTCTCTTCTGACATCTCAACATGAGCAGTTTCCTTCTCTTCTGTCATCTGTACATGGGCAGTTTTCTTTTCTTCTGACATCTCTACATGAGCAATTTTCTTCTCTTCTGCCATCTCTTCATGTGGTGTTATTTTCTCTCCTGATATCTTTTCTCGTACAGTTGTATTCTCTTCTGACATCTTTTTATGAGCAATTTTCTTTTCTCCTGACATCTCTTCATTATTTGCTGGTGATATCTTCTCTGACAAAACTTTGTCATATAAAGTTGCTTTTTCTTCAAAAAATTCCTTATCACATGGAATTGAATTCAGCCCAGTCATTTCACAACAATTATTTGGTTTCTTTTCTGACATTTCTTCATTACATGCTGGTGACTTTTTTCTAGACACATTCTCATCACAAATAGTAAAATTTTCTGCTGACAAATCTGCAGTTTTCTTCTCCCCAAGGATGTTGGTTTCACACACTGTTACTTGTTTGGAGGTTTCTACAATTGGGGTTAATTCATCTCCAGATGCTTTTCTGTTCTCTCTTTCAATCATTTGTTTGGTGGATTCAGCAGTCTAAAGAAAAGTGAACAACCATAATAACCACTATAAAATGTAAATTTTGTAAGGATCATAATAATATTAAGCTTTTTTCATATTTTCCATTTTTTAAAATTAATTAATACACATTTATTCTAATACATTATTAAAATGAAACTGAAATGAAAATTAAGAAACTTTTAACTGAAGCAAACAAAACTTATATTCAATTAATTATAATTCACTGAAAGATTGCTATTTTACCTCCAGTCGCAGTTTCTGTTGTTTTATAATATGGACCTTTGCATGCTTCCTTGCTCTGTGTTGTTTTCTGTTTATTTTTTCTGGTTGTTTTCTGTAATTTATATGACATATTTTATAAATTGTGTTATTACAACCTGACATTGATACATAAACCTTTTAAGATGTGTTTGGGACAGTTATTCTACCATACCTGTTGTGATTTTTGTAGCAATTTCTCTTCTCCTCCCCTCCAATTTCTTTTTCTAAGTTCTTCATACCATTCTGCTGCTTTTGTCCTTCCTATTAAAATATGTGAGTGAAATATTGTCTTGCATCAGTTTGAAGAGCATTACATCTCTTTTTTGGGAAGGAAAATCTTTCAAAATGTAGTTATAAATGAAAACTATACTGTAGCTTTTCTAAAAAATATTTAATGAAAATATTTTTTACAAAAGATGGGAGTCCTTTTTTATTTACTGACATGCATTTAAATTAGATTCATTATAAACAGTTGACCTTCAGTATCTCGAACATCGATATCTCAAATACCATGGATATGTCAAATTGATTTTGAAGTCCCAACCACTTACTCTTTAAGTATTTTACCCTCAATATATCAAATCCTTGCATATGTCGAAGTTTTTTCTTTGTCCCTTCAAGTTGGAAATGATGAAGTTTGACTATATATATATATATATATATATATATATATATATATATATATATATATATATATATATATATATATATATATCTGTACCTCCATACGTCTTTCCTCCTCTTCAACTACGTCTGACCAGTTGTAGCTGAATTTTAATATCTCAAGTTTTGTATCCTGAAAAAATACACATTAATTGTGAAACAGAGTCATGGATGCACAGAGCATTTCAGAAAAGAGAGTTTATCAGAATCTAAAGACCAAATTAAGCTTTTAGTTAGGAAACAAATATTAGTGAGGCTGCTCCCCATCTTTGAAAATGGTAAACGAAAAATTATTCTGCTAATTTACATTATATTCATAGATGTGGCTTATATAGTAGCTCTGTATCATTTAATGGTTTGGAGTAGGGTGTCTTGGTGCCTGTTAAGCATCTACATCTATACATATAACTGAGCTTACCACATCTGTGACAGGGTTCTCCCCGAAATCTAGAACTTCATTGTAGTCCATGGTCGTTATTCTACAAAAAAGATATAACATCAGAATTACTAGAAATGTACCTAAACTTGAATCATATCCTATTACAAGTAATCTAAATGATCAGAATAGACATAATTTCATGACTTGTAACTCTTGTATGTTGTACCTTCAACTACCTATCTTTATTTTGTTATAGAAATGATTCTAACGTCATGTTAATTGGTGCATTTTGGTAATCATAACATCACAGGTAGAGACATGCATTCTCTATGCTAACTATTTGATTGGAATAGGAGGGGTATATACAATCCCTAGCAGTCATGCAATATCAAAGTGAATGAAAAAAGAAAGTATAATACGAAAGTGGGGGACATTCTCTTCAAAATCAAAGATTTTACACTTTTGTTAATTAAAAATCCTAAAGCTTTGAACAATATGACCCTTATTCCTTCCCTGTTGTGACATCCAAGCTGCAAACTCAGCAGATAATACAGAAATTATGAACATATTGCATCTTAACAAAAAATAAAAGCAATTTTTTAATGATGATCAGTGATTGTTCTGTACCGTTTGTGATTTGTGTTGCAATCTTTCTTCTTCTCCCCTGCGATATCCTTTTCCACCTTTTTCTCCATTTCTTTTTGCTGCTTTTGTTCCTTCTGTTATATAAATGTACATTTGGTAAGCAATAAACATCACCATCAATTAGTACATAGTGAATATCAACTGTATTTTTTTTTTATTTTACCAAAGAAAATCTGTCAAAATGAGGTTATTTGATAATTATTCTGTAACTAAGTTGTAAAAAAAATGCTTCTTTGGAGTATACATGTATAGCATCACTATTCTTAAATATAAAATCTTTCAAAATTACCTTATAATTGATAACTATACTGTAGATTTGCCAAAAAAATGTTGCTTAAAAAAGAATAACGTTGTACATCATAAAACTTTTATTACACCATGGTTTTTATTTGCTGTAATGCAAGTAAATAAGGTTCAATAATTTATATCTGTACCTCCATACGTCTTTCCTCCTCTTCAACCGCGTCTGACCAGTTGTAGCTGAATTTTAATATCTCAAGTTTTGTGTCCTGAAAAATAAAGCAACACATTTATAGTGAAACAGAGTCATGGATGCACAGAGCATTCCACAATTTTAGTGGGTTGTCAGACTAGTACTAAGACTAGTACCGGTAATTCAAGCCTTTTGATAAAATGGTAAATTAACATTATTCTACTTATATACTTATATACTTGTGCATATGCATAGCTTACATAATAGATTTCAATAAATTGGTATTTGGTGATTTAGATAAGTGTGTATGTGCTTATTCAGCATCTTTCTCTACATGAATATATAAGTAATACTTTCTCAAAAAAGAATATCAATGAATATTGTAAGTATAAATCTTAACCACCGTTTTTCCTATGCACACTTGTGTCATATAAACTGAGCTTACCACATCTGTGACAGGGTTCTCCCCGAAATCTAGAATTTCATTGTAGTCCATGGTATTCATTCTACAAAAAAGGAAATTATGTCAGAATTACTAGAAATATGGAATGCTGTCCTATCACAAGCTATCTACACTAAGCATATCTTCGTGACTTTACCTCCGTGTTTTGTATCCTCTTTCTGATTTTTGTTATAGTGATGATTATTACGTCATGCTAATTGTTGCGTTTTAGAGACTATGACGTCACTGTGGATATACTCGTAACCCCCTCCCCTTTTTTCGTAAATTAAAAAAATCCCGAAAAGTTGAAGAATACGACCCTTATTCCTTCCCTGTTGTGACACCCAAGCTGTAAAGTCAGCATATAATACAGAAATGATGAAAATGTATTGTAGCATCTCTACAAAAAATAGCAAATTTATCAATTGTGCCCGCTGGGTCACTTATTTTATGATACCTTTTGTGGTTCTTGTTGCAATCTTTCTTCTCTTCCCCTGAAATTTCTTTTTCCATCTTCTTTTTCATTTCTTTCTGCTGCTTTTGTTCTTCCTATTATATAAAAGTACATTTGAATACAATAAATCACGAATCAGTCCGTAGTGAATATCAGCTGACATCATTTTTTCAAAGAAAAATCAACTAAGTATCGAAAATTCCGAATGTTGTTAAATGATATTTTTCTGTAGTTTTGTTACAAACCTATATTTTGTTTAAACCTATGAACTGTATGGTTGTTGGTAATAAACAATACAATACAAAAAATTGCTATTTGAATATATATATATATATATATATATATATATATATATATATATATATATATATATATATATATATATATATATATATATATATATATATATATATATTTTTAAAGATACAAATAAGCTTAAGTTCAAGTATAAATCGGTATTTTATATTAATATTGTACCTCCATACGTCTTTCCTCCTCCTCAACTGCGTCTGCCCAATTGTAGCTGAATTTTAATATCTCAAGTTTTGTATCCTGAAAAAAGCATTGAAGTAATAAATTAATGCAAAAAAGATTGACATTTCAAAGAATGTGTTGGGTAGATTTTTTTAATCTAAGACAAATTTTTGCATTTTCATTGGAAATAAAATGATACGGAAATAAATGTTATTATATAAAAACATCTGCTACTAGTTTGAGAGATTTATTATTATTTGACAATTAAGGTAATTGTGCCTATGGGGCATCTATACATGGAACTGAGCTTACCACGTCTGTGACAGGGCCATCCCCGAAATCTAGAACTTCGTTGTAGTCCATAGTTTTCATTCTAGAAAAATAAAGGACATTGTGCCAAAATTGTTACACTTTAGAAATGTATTTAAACTCAGAATCAGTCTGTGTTATCAAAAGAAATGTAAATGAGCTGAGTATAAAAATTTACCTCCGTGTTTTGCACGCTCTTTCCAATTGTTGTTGTAGTGATAATTATGACGTCACACTTATTGTTGCGTTTTAGTAATTATGACGTCACTGGTAGATGTACATTTTGGGGGTTGCAAACCTGCTGCAATTTATAAAATTCAAATTGAACGAAAAAATAAAATGAGAAAAAGTGGAGGAACATCCTTTTCAAAAAATCCCCAAAAGTCAAAGAACGCGACCTTATTTCTTCCCTGTTGTGATATAGACATAATGAACGTATTAAGTTTAAAATCTGAAGTTACAAGGTAGTGATCGCTGCCTACATTTGCATCTCGTTTTACTCTCACATCCTACAGAGACCTTTTCTATTTCCCTCCATGTATTATCCATGTGGAAATGACGTTCATTCGGGAGTCCTGTAACCAAAGTACTCCGTTAGATGTTCACGTACCTTCTTCGTTCATGGTACAACAACCACATCTAATTAGTACGGTTGTCTTGGCCTATTTTGCATTAGGACGATTTCCACCTTAGTTTGGACTTTCAGTAAGGCGTGGCATTCTCGACGTTACATAATTAGCTTCTGAATTCCTTCACTGTTGAAATATACATGGGATAGAAATTCGGGCAAATGTCAACAAGTGTACCGAATAACCAATAACATTGTCTCGCCCGGCAAAGAGGTGGGGCTTAAGTCGTCTCATCGTTGTCAACAACAATTTAAAGTTCCTGATGTTATTAATTTCTTAACCAATAATAATCTATTCGCCACTTGACAGACGCTAATAACATAGTGCCGAGAATGCCCGCCTTACAGAAAGTCCAAACTAAGGTGGAAATCGTCCTAAAATCAAGGTTACTTTTAAGAAGGCTGGGGGTCAACAAATTAACAATTAGGTATAATCTAATTTTTTAGATATGATATCCTAAGCTGTCAACTATCATTTGGCAAAGAAAAATTTCATACATTTTAGTTTTAAGATTTGATCATTTTTGCATATCTTTATATGGAGCTCTTCTAAACATTAATATAGTCTAGAATGGCCACAGCCACCCAACTTTTGAGTAGGTAGGGCTATGGCTTTCACATTTGTATTCCTTGTGACAATGCCTTTCTGTGGGTAGTGGGTACCATCACCCTGATCTTGGAGTTTGACCCACTTTTACAAAATACATGTATTACCTAACTTTTACCATGACGATAACTTTTGAATAGTTGGTGCTAGTGGTTTCATACTTCACATGTTTATATTGTGAGAAGACTTTTCAATGGGTATAAATATTTTTGACCTTGACCTTAGAGATTGGCCAACTTGTAAAAACTATCTTTGGAAATAGCTTTCGAACAGTTCGTACTTGAGCTTTCATATGTCATTTCACAGGTTTATTCCATATGAGTTATGACAAGACCTTTCTCTGGATACCAACAATTTTGACCTTTTGACCTTGGAGTTTGACTTGCATTTGAGAAACTTCAAATCTCACCATAAGCTGCCATACGGGGGCATCAGTGTTTCCAAAACGCTTGTTGTTAATCATGTGATGTATTGTTTTGAATTCTTTGACTTTATCGTCTAATGCTACATGTACATGGGACTAAGGGTTCTGTCTAGTAATCTATAAGAGTGAGAAGATGTGATTGTACTATTTCTGATCTCAATTATAGAGATGTTGCGAAACATTAGGTCAGAATCGTTCTATTTTCACACAGCTATGTAAATACTGTAACATATCAGTACTACAAGTCCAATGAAAAAAATCGAGTTTGACATCAACTACATGAATTTGCAGCAGACTATTGCAGTTGTGTTATATGCTGTTCATTGTGTGAGTTGAGTAGGCTTTTTACATATATCTGCACAAGTGTATGTGGCCGAAACTTTACAAATTTTAAAATGGGAAAAGCTTTTTTGAGAAGGTTTTTAACATATAGGATTTATTATGGGTAAGAGACGTGATTTTGAATTACTCTTAATTCTGATACTTTATGACTATTAAGGTTTATGGAGATTGGATATTATAAAGTTATTTCCTAGATGACCCTCATGACCTTGATCTTTCAAATGTGACCTTGATACTATCCGTCGTGATCAGCAATGTACTTGAATCGTTCCTAAAGTCAGGATTTTTTTCTAAGTTGGCTTAGATCTACGCGATTTGTTGTCAATTGAGTGAAATTTGAAATACGGCATTGAATCAAGTTGGTTAAACTTTAATTCACGATGAAAAGCAGGTTGTATACCCAGTGAAGAGTTAATGACGTGTTAAATGTTACAATATTATATAAGTCGATATAGACTTAAACATGTGTTATCTTTTTGCTTATGCTTTCTTATAAATATAGTTATGTTTGAAATTTCAAAAGCCGGACTGTGTGGTGTATCATGCCACCGGCTGAAGACTTGTCCTAAAAACGACTTATGAAATTAATGTTACGAACAAATACAATTCATTTTGCCCAATTCTACATACAAATCTTACTATGTACGGTGTCTAAAATTATTTGTAGCTTAACAAAAAGTATTTCTGAATGTTTGTCAATACTATACCTGGGTATAAAAGAAGAACAAAATGCAGATTGCTGAAATTAAATAACTGAAGGTTTTTGTTCAAGTGCTAAAATGTTTAAGAAATTGTTCTGAGTTGTTTTTTTTCTCTTTTCCTCTCTATCTCGTCTCCTGAATTTATTTTTGTTTTTGAATTTTCTCTAAGAATCTAGCTTGTAAATTCACTTTGTGCCTTATAGTTTAAATTTATATTATAGTTTCTTTTGTTATGAAATCTATTATATCATATATATTCTACAATATTTGCATTTGTAATTTAATAATGTTTTATCCTCTTCATTTACTATTATGAAATATTTTAATCCTAGCACAACTTTTTTGTAATTATTCCATTAATTAATGTTAATTAACATTTTGTTCATTCTTTTAACATAATCCACTAAATTGTCCTTTGAATATTGACAACCCTTCGCCCCCTTCCTTCCCCGCACTAAAATGTTTATAAATCTTCTGCTAAAATGTCCATTCACACCTTTTGGGAAGGGGGGTGTAACGATCTCTCACTCTTTGTATCGGAACTCCTCGATCTCTACTTTCACTTTCTTTTTGTGTAATCATGTGGGTTTGACATGACAGTTTCGGTCCTCCGTCCTGATTCAGTTTATATATGTAGTATTTTGACTTCATATTGGAATAATATTTAATATTAGCGGGGTTCTACGTTCATCAAACATGGGGAATGAGAAGAGGACCGTTCTAGTTACAGGTACGTCAATGAAATGCCGTAAAATTAAACGTACATGTATTATTCTGTTTCGATTATGCCTGAACTGAAGACAAATCAATCTCTGTATGATATCTTGTATGAGAATGGGAGAAAATGTGTGCCTGGACCACAATCAAATCCGGAACCTATGGTGTTCGGACCCCGTTTCATTAGCGCGACATCGCTCAGATAACTACGAGACATCGCGCTAACACACACAGGCCAATTTCCACGGCCAAAACCATTAGTGGTATTACATCCCTCCCTCCGTTAAATCGTTTTCGCCCTCGAACACACAACACCTGACAGGGCTTTCACATGTTCACCTGAAAACACACATATGCAATTTTTATTCACAGTCGTTTCACACAACTTTGCCAATTCCGTCGCGCTAACACAACTTTGCACAATTCCGGGTCACCAGCGTATATTTTATGTATATTGTTAAAATTTAAGCGCAAAAAACTTAATGACTACGCATATAATGGTGAAATGAAGAACTGGTCTTTCTGTATGTAACTGATTACAAAATTTTAAATATCAACTTATTAGATTTGTTTAAAGAAATTGAAATTTGTTATAACGCATTTGTTATTACAAATTGATAATTTGTTTAACTGATAATTTGTTATATCAAATTGATAATTTGTTTTTGCAAATTATTAATTTGTTTAAACAGAAAGGCTGATATAAAAGTTCTAACAAATAATAAGAGCTAACGAAAGTATTTGGCAAATGCATTTTGTTTTAACAAATTGATAATTTGTCATAATGATCTAATTTGTTTAATAAAATTATAATGATTATTAAACAAATTAAAAAAAAAAAGTTACTCCAATTGCGGATCACGCAATCTCGTGGCATGAACATGTCACAAATTCTATGTACAAAACCAATCGACAACGGTGTATTGCAACCTTGATTATCAAAAGTATTCTAACTGGCATGTTGTTGTTAGCGCGATCTAATTGTGCAAAGTTGTGTTAACCAACTTCAAATGCATGTGTGTTAAGTGTATTATTTTTAATCCTAATACATTTGTGTGTTAAGCGCGATACTGCAATTTGTTTTGTTGTAATTGTGTTAAAATAATTTAAACATATTTCTGTGGTTGTTACTTTGTTAGCGCGACGGTGCATTGTGTTTTATGTTTCAACATCATGTTGTGTGTTAGCGCGACGGCGCGTTGTGCAAAGTTGTGTTACACGACATGTTGTGTGTCACATGACCCGATATTGGAGAAAATGTTCGTAACTGGGGAAATGGCCTTGCTGAAATACCCCTGTAAATATTGTTCCCGTGTATCTACTTTACGGCCAATTTCCACGGCCAAAACCAAAAGGTGTTTGGTATTACATTTCCCTTCTTTCAATACATATATTGCATAAAATAAAAATTGAACAGATTTGCAAAATATCAACTGAAAACCCATATGCAATTTTTATTCACAGTCGTTTCACATAATTATATGAATATAAAGAAAGACCTTCTCTTTTGATTTCATGATGTGATCAATCGCCTTCGGCGTTTATGCATAAAATTATGATGCAAGCCAATCGATTGATCATCGTCATGAAATTGAAAAATCTGACAGTTATTCCTTATATTTACATGCTTTTGATTCCGTCAATCCACGCGCTCCAAGCCCTACTTCTGTCTAGCTATTTGTCCCGCCCTACACGTGACTTTTTTTTAACCGCGCTTATTGATGAACCAATACATTGATGGGGAAATAAAGTACATTTACTATCTGTAATTTTATCTCGGACAAAGACATTGGAAATGTAAATATATATTTGTGAAACAACTGTGAATAGAAATTAAATACCGGCCAATTTAAGTGGTATAAAAATATATACTATAATTTAGCAGGATAAACTTTATATTTAAGTATATGTGCCCAGGTCGATAGATCGGGGGCGTATATTGTTTTTGTCCTGTCTGTCTGTTTATCTGTTTGTCAGTCTGTTATCAACTTTAATCTTTTGCCATAACTTTTGAACCGTGAGAGCTAGAGACTTCATATTTGGTATGCATACTCCACTAAGTAATTTATTACATTAATGACACCAAAGTCAATGACTTTGTAACTTTGACTGTGACC